CCCTTCGCCGAGCTCGACGCGCACGTGGGGCCCTACAATGCAAACTCAGTCTGAGCGCGCCAATGGCGCGGAAGGGGCACCCCGTCGTATGTCCTCGGGTACAGCCCCCGGGGACATGTGGCCTTGGCGGTGAATGTAGGCCCCGCCGACGGGCCTCACGCACACCGCCACACACGAGCATTGTCCTCCCGCACACTCACACACGTTCACACACCTGCCCCCTGCCTGCCTGTCTGCTCTCTAATCGTTTCGGTCCATGGGCAAGGGGAGGGGGAGCGGGGGCGTTATTTCTGTGATCACGCCGCGCGCTTCACACCTGCCTGCATCCCGCAGGACACAAAGCATGTCTCCAACACCAGCATGGCTGAGAAACGGGGGCAGCCGACGTGGGCCCCTCCCCCGGCAGGCCGCCCTGGCAGGGCTGGCAGGCAGCCCCCGGCAGCCCCCGGCAGCCCCCGGCAGGCAGGCAACCATTCGTGCATTCACACTCGAGCAGACCGCTCCTATAACGCGCCGGGCCACACCGCCTGGGCATTCACCACACCATTCATTACACACACCCAGGCAGACAGTTTGAGATGGAGTGAGAGATATGAACAAAGAGCGTCAAGGCATAACGCCGGCAAGCCACTCCGGACCCCCTCCTCCCCTCCCTCGCCGGGCCGGGCAGGGCCAGGCAGCCTGCAGGCAGCCAACCCCACACGCCCCAAGTAAGGAATCAGTTTCAAGCAGCAGGCTTATCTGATTTCGCAAAGGACCTGCCGCCAACCACCTCTCGTGTGTTTGTGGAGCGCATCTCTTTTCTACCCCGAGAGGAGTCGGCGATGAACCGGGTTCGAGTACCGGCAGGGTGGGGATTTTGCTCGGCGCGACTTTCGGCGCGCTTCCCGCTTATCGAAAGCTCGGCAAGCCGGGTAGAATGTGTGCTTCCTGGCGGGCACGCCGAGCACGCCGAGCACGCCGAGCACCAGGCCGTCGTCCCGAGCCAAACTTTGGCGCCGCTGCTGCCAACCCTAGCCGCCTCGGCCCTGCCGGCCCGGCCGGCCCTGCCGCCACAGTCATTAGTGCACGGCTTGGATGTCCGGGTGCACACCCGGGGTGTCCTGCAGGGTGTCATGTCCTGCCGCATGGCGGCCCAGGCCCGGCGCGGCCCGGCACGGCCCGGCCGCCTGCCGGGGTCCAGAGGCGAGAGATTCCTCATTAGACGGGCGCACCACCCTGGCACGCCACGGCACGGCGCGGCAGGGCCCCACCCCTCGGCATCCATTTTGCTGCGACAAAATACGCCAGGGGAATTACCTAAAACATCGCTCACACAGAGCCAGCCAGCCAGCCAGCCAGCCAGCTACCCGGGCGCGGCGCGGTTTCTTGCGGCTCCGGTTTTCGAAGATGTAATTTTGCGGCGACTTTCGCAGTTGGCAGCCCTGCCGGAAGTGGCAGGCCGGGCCCTGCAGACTGATTCCGAGAGGCGTACTCTCGTCTCTCTCTCTCTCGCACTCATAGGAGCACTATAGGAGCGAGAGAGACAAGAGCGACGAAAACGACTCTCGGAATCCGTCTGCTGGCCGGGTCGGCCAGCCTGGTCTCGTCAAGCCTCTGCGGTGGCTGTCCGCCTGACGGCAACCCCCGCCACGCTACGCCACGCCATCTAGCTTCTGGCTGTGCTGGCTGTGCTGGCCGTCCTTGCGTACTGCGCTGCTCTTGTCCAACCTTCACATTGCCGCGCCGCCCCCACCCCCCGCCTGCCCAGAGGCCCTTTGGCCGAGCCTCATTTGTGTTAGGTCCCCCAGCGCCGCAGGGCCGGGGCGGGGCGGGCGGCGGGGTGAACACATTCCACATCGTGACCAACGACGCCGTCCTGGCGTCCTCCCCTCAGCCCGTCGTCGAGCACACTGGATTCCTGCACCGTCCGGCACGCCGCGGCAAAGTCTGCTGTCCGTCTGATAGCGTCTGCACGCCGGCTACAGCTTGTAAATTTTCCCGGGTTCAACTCTTCTTGACCTCTGAGGTTTCTTTTCCCCCGAAGTGGAATGACGTTTTATTTGTTTCTTTTCGGTGTAGGCCGTCGCGTCGCGCCATGCCCGGCCATGCCGTCGCCCGGCCGCGGGGTCTGGCCTCGAGTGGGACTCGATCCGCGACCCTTATACGCCGGCCCGCCCTGCCCGCCCTCCCTCGCGAGCCTCGCTCCGCGGCGCGCCACGCCACGCCACGCGGCACTGGGTTCGGGGCGATCTTTAGAATTTGGCCAGGCAAGGGAGGGGCGCAAAGCCATAATTTTCATTATATGGCCGGTCCTTCGGCTCTGCTCCAGTGCTCTCGGATGAGCGCCACCTCGGCCTGGCTAGGCCTGGCCAGGGGCGGACCAGGGGCGGACCAGGGGCGGACCAGGGGCGGACCAGGGGCGGGCAGAACCACCCCACAGTCACACAGCCCCGCCGCATTCCTCCAAAAATCACAAGGCATCACTTTCAGCAGAATGGGCGAAAAATTTTAAAATTAAAAACGTGAGGTTAAAGTGCCTGTGGTGGAAAACTTTGAATATGCGACTGTGTGCTTATCAAGCGGGCATTTTGCGTACATTCTATATCGCGAGGTTCCGATCGGCGCCATCTTGCTAACGCGGGGTTTGCTCCGCGACGTTGTACCACACTGTACATCCACTCGCTCGGGCAGTAATCAGTCGGAAACAAACACACTGACTTGCGTCGGACGTTATTCGATGATGAATGAGCGTCCAGGGACCCGAAAGGGACCCGAAAGGGACTCGAAAGGGACTCGAAAGGGACGGCGAGCCGATAAGGCTGGCTGCGAATATCCCTTTACTTCCTCTTCTCTCTCTCTCTCCCTCTCTCGCCATTCGGACGTCGGCGCGGTCCTCCCCCTCCCCGTCCGCCACACCAGCAGCGCCATAACTCCCTCCTCCCTCAACATGGCCACTATAATCACAACGACAACTACACACTTCCTTCGCCTCATCACAGTAATTCTCGCGCGGCCCGCAGCGCCCCATGCCCTGTCCGTGTGTCTGTCTGTCGGTCCGTCCGTCCGCGTGGCGTCGTCGCCGTTCAAACTTTGGTTTGCTCATCCTCGGCCACACGGCCGGGCCCCCGCCTGCCCCGCCTGCCGTTCCGCAACTTTCCTTTTCGATAAATATCGCGCACGCCGGGGACATAACTTGCATGCCGGGCGGGGCGGCCGGGCCGAGGTCTTGCCATTAGCCTGCACGGCCACTTACACGGCCTGCATGGAGGGGCGCAAGCGGCGCAAGTGCCAGTGTACAAGTTTGGGGAAGGCCGCGCTGAAAATGCCCGGCCGGGGGCAGCGTGTGCGGGCCGCGGGCCGTGCCCTGCCTCGCCGGCCTTGCCCCGTGCGGGCGCTATTTTCCAAGTTGGAGTTGTATTCGGCGAACTGGGGAGGAGGGCAGGACCGCCGGGCCGGGGGTTGGTCTGGCTGGTGTCCCTAGACCACCCCTGGAGGGCGGGCAGGCCACGCCACGCCACGGCCGGGCTGCTCAGGGCCGCGCGCGCCCCACCCCCTAGTGCCCTGCGCCTTGCACTGGTGGTGGCAGACCACACACCCAGAGGCCCAGGCCAGCCCAGGCGAGGCCCGGGCCACCCAGGCCCAGGCGGCAAGATAACCCTCTTCTGACCCTTCGCAGGCCCGGCGGGCCCGGCGGCCCCGCAGCGTGGCAGCCCGGCCCAGTGCGCTCCTAACTCACGGCCCCACCCCCCCCGCGACCCGCCGCGCCACGCCCGCCCCTCGGCCGCTCGCCGCGCGCACTCTCTTTCCGTTGATTGCAAATTAAACGTCCCTAAGACGCCGGCCCTCCCTCCCCCTGCCCGTCATGCCTCCCCTGTCTTTGCTCCCTCGATGGATGACCGCGCGGCCCTTGGCCCGGCTCTGCAGCGGGGAGGCCCTCAAGGCCCCGCCGCCCCGCCGCCCTGGCAGTGACAAGAACACGCGAGAAGTCGCCCCGTGATGAATTAATAGCGAGTCAGAGTTCGCGGCTTTGTGACGCCGGCCCGCCAAACTGCAGCCAGCGACACGGCGTGCGGCGCCAGCGCGCCAGCGCGCCAGCAGGGTGCTGCGGTGCTGCGGCCGGATTCCTGTCTCTCTCGCGCTCCTGGGGCGTCCGGTACGGGGGCGAGAGAGACAGGGCGACGAAAAGACCCTCCGGAGTCTGGTGGCTGGCGACGCTGCGGAAGACGTCCTGCACGAGGGCTAGCGCGGCGCGGCCATGACGTCGGGGAGGGCGACGTGCTTTTGCAACACGTCGGCTCGGCGGCGGCGACGGCGCCGCGCCCGAGGGCCAAAACTAATTTCGATTGCAAATAAGTAGTGGTGAGCTCGGCCCGGCCGCCGGCCCCGCCGGCCCACACTACCCCACCCCGCCCCCGCGCGTTCGCCCTCCTGACGTTCGCCGCCCCAGCCGATTAACTGTGCCGGTAATCGAATTTGGACAACTAACTACTTCTCGCTCGGCCCTGCCCTGCCGCCGTGGACCCAGGACCCCGCGGTGGACCCGCCTCTTGTCACCCAAAGGCTTGCTGCCGGCCGATTCAGGAGAGGCGTTGCGTCGTTCTGTCTCTGTCGCACTCACGGCGCTCTTCGTAGGTGTGTGAGGGAGACGGAGCGACAATCCGTCCTTCTGAATCGCTCGGCCGCTGCTGCTGGTTGAGGGAGAGAGGGAGGCCCGACTCCTCCGCCTCTCCTTTCCCGGTTCGTGCTTGCCGTCATGCTGCCCTCCGCCTTCCTGTCACCACGGTCGTGTCCACGTCTCATTTGCCGCTAATTAAAGAATGGAGCTGCTCGGCCAGTAAGCTTTGTTTCGTACTTCCCTAATTGCATCTCGGCGGAGAAGCGAGGCGGCCAAAGGAAGAAGATTGAGGCGAACGTGGCTGGCGTTGGCTGTTGTTGAAGTTGGTAGGAGTGTGGTCAGTTCGAACCACCGGACCGACGCGACGTTCTGCTGTTTTCAGTTGCTCGTCGTCCGGCGCGCGTTGACGCCCGTCCGCTGCAAATTGTTTATTTTGAGAACTTTTTAACTTAAGTTTCTCGCGTGTGAGTCATGGAAATCGCAAATCGAACTGAGAATAACGAAAAGAGAAGTGCGTCGTATGTTGTCATGTCCATGTTGCTGCATTGGAGTATTTTCAAGCTAGAAGAGGGATGTCTAACCTTACCTGGTCACCGGGTGCATCATTTGAACATTAGTGCAAGTTTGTGTTCAAATAGTGTCCTTTCGCAGAGCAGTGATATGAAACTACAAAGATGATTGCCTTCTTGACCAACATTTGAGGAATGGTCGTTGAACATTCATGTGTGTCTCTTTGGATAAAGTCAACGTACTGAACTCAGCAACAACTACACCGTATGGCAGGTATGTTCCATGTAGTTAGTTTATGAGAGGTTTTGTGTGTGAAAGGTGTACGAAGAATGGAACCCTTTTCTGCTCAGTCATTTGTGTCCAACGGTAAGTAATCAGTGAACGGAAAACGATTCTGAACTGAATTGGCATAAGTCAAAGCGATAGTAATAGACACCTCTTGAGTTCATTGCGGTAAGTTCTATCTCACCTGCATCATTCATGTGAAGAAAAGTTTTGACGCAGTGATCAGGTAAAGTATGGTTCTTTTGTCTTGACGCAGTGATCAGGTAAAGTATGATTCTTTTGTCTGAGGTATTATATTTGAACTCTTCAGTATCATCCTGTAAAACCCAGTAATTGCGTGGATCGAAATAATTTTTTAATTTGACATTGGAAATTGTTCTGTCAGTACCAACAAGCCGCCAGTGAATTTGTGGTATAGTTGCCAATAGAAATCAAAGCTAAGCAATTCTGGCTCAAGGGGCGTTACCTTGCTGAAACTGGTAAAAAGTGGTGGAGTGCCGCTTCTTTTGCAGGGTGCCCCTGGAGCCTCTGAAGGGTGCCTCTGGCCTCTGGCTCGGCGGTCGCCTTTCCGCCGCGCCATTGTCTCTCCATAAATCAGTCTCTACCTTGCGGATCGCCCCTCTCTCTCTCCCCCTCCCCCTTCCCTCCCCCTCACTACCCCGCGACTGGACCCGCCGTGCCGCCCGCGCCAACGCTCCACCGACCTTTGCATCCACCGTGGCACCCTGCAAAACAACAAGACGGCAAAAACAACAACACAATTTCGAGTGGGCCTATAAAGCTCCGGTGGCAGGGGCGGCGGCGGGCGGGCAGGGGTCAGAAGACGGAGGGGGACGCGAAAACCAAAAGAGAAAGGAAGGACGGAAGGAAGGAGGCCGGTACCACAAACGTGATGGATTCGCGCCCGTTTCGGAGCTCCCTGCACCTCGATCAATGTCAATTCCACGTAGTGGTCTCTCTCTCTCTCTCTCTCTCTCTCTCTCTCTCTCTCTCTCTCTCTCTCTCTCTCTCTCTCTCTCTCTCTCTCGCGTCATTACGCCCCCACTTACCGCGTGGTCAGGCAGGCCTGCCAACTCTCGCCGTATTCCTGAGCCCCCACCCCTCCCCCTCGTTTCCTTCCCCAGCGCGGCCAAAAGCCCCCGGGCAGTCTGGCGTCCTGTCCTGGCGGTGCTGGCGCTGCGAAGGACTGGAAGGACATTCGGTCCTGCCTCGGCCGCGCTGCCCGAGAGAGACTTAGTCTCGAGATAACGACGTCGACCGCCTCCCCCGGCGTGCCTCCCCCCCGCGACCCTCGCGGGAGTGGAAGGGACGGCGCCCGGAGGCAGGCGGTGCAGGCCGTGGCGGGCAGGGCCGGCTAGGGTCCGGGCAGGCAGGGCAGGGCAGCGTCCGTGGCGGAGACACAGCCATTGGTCAGGAGGGGCGGCCCGCGGAGGGCCACCACCAAAATGGCCCAAGGCGCCGCAGCGCGCGGGGACTGTGGGGGTGGGGGCGGAGGGACGCCCGCCCCGCCAGCCCTGCCCGGGCCGGCCTGTCTCGAGTTGTACCTGCGAAGACGCCGACCACCTTCCTGCCCTCCCCCTTTGTCCAATTACTTTGCATACATACCTCGGGCTATGCGATGGGTCTGCGATGTCTCCCCTGAGTCGCGCCGCGCCCTCGCCTTGCCACGGGCCCCGCCGCGGAGGGGACCTGGCGGACCTCCCCTCCCCCCCCTCCCCCCCTTCCCCCGCCGCGGCGGTGACCCGCTCCATTAGAGGTCGCGGCCGCGGGGAAGCCTTGTGCCCCGCGTAATGATGCTTTGTTCGGTTTCCCCCGATAGGGAACAACCGAGCCAACATGTCCACATTTTCGGCATCAATATTCCGAAAGCAGCGCGCGTGGCTTTCTGTGTTCCGTTTTCCCGATCGGCTCCGGCGAGACTGCCTGGAGCGCGCGTCCGGCACCGGAGTGATTTTGGAATCCCTCTCTCTTCCCGCGCGCGGCGCCTCGCCTCGCCTCCACTTTATTCCCTCTGCCGTGACATCCCGGCACGCCACTGCCACACACCGATGCACACACTTTCATATTTTGCCGCGCCGTGTTCGTCATAAATTGCCAAATATTTGATGCGGCGCGCCGTCGTCGTCCCTGGATGGCGCGGCGGCGCGGCGGCGCACTGGGCCGAATTCCGGGCGAGCCGCGCAACCCTCCGGACCTTTGTCGAGAGCAGACGGATTCTGGGCGTGTGGCTATGCGACGGACAGTAAGAACGCGGGGGATGGGAGGTCGGCGCGGCCGCGGCCCCTCCGGCCCTCCGACTCGGCCTCGGCTGCCTCGGCGCGGACGCGGATCGCGTAGACAAAGGGCCTCGGCGTGGCGGAGCGCGGCGGGGCGGCGGGGCGGCGGCAGGTATCCAATAACAGCAGTCCATCCGACACGCTATGCCGTATTGGCGTATTGAACTTGCATGACGCGCTCCGCGACATCGCGAAGGCAGCCGTGTGTGTGCTCGTGTGTGTGGGTGAGAGTGTGTGTGTGTGTGTGCGCGCGTGTGTGTGCGGCGATCTGCGAGTGGGAGGCTGCGCGAGAAAAACAGAACAAAAGGCGGAGAGTTTTTGTGATTTGTGTACCTGCGGAAACGCGCCACGGCGGGGCGGGAACTTTAAAATGCAAAGTTTGAGGAAAAGCGCCGACCGTCGGCGACGCGGCGGGTCGAGGCGGCCACGGCGAGTAGCCTGGCCTGGCGGGGCCGCTTTTGTGTCCAGCCGCCTCCGCCCCCCAGTAGTGCTTCAAGTTGCTTGACGCCCGGGCAGGGGTCGGCGTCGGCGCGGGCGGGGGGCAGGGGGCGGGTATGGACCCATTTTCAGAGAGGACCCTGACAGCGGACCACGCCGCCCTCCCATCCAAGTTGTGGACCGCGAAGAGCCAAGTCAGCAAGTCGGCGAGGCAGTGTCTCCGTCGAGAGGACCCTCCGAGCGTGGCGCGGCAGGGCGCGGCAGGGCGCGGCGCGGTGCCGGTCTAAGGAGCTGGGGCGCAGGACTCCAGGGCTCTCGAGGAGCGCCTGGCCCTGGTCGCTCTGGGCCTGGCCCCGCCAACAGGGTGGAGCGGTGGACACAATCATCTAGTGGCCGGGGAGGCGGGGGCAGCTCCGTGCATCCTGCATCTCCCTGCAGCGATTGCTGGCTCGCCGGCGCGGAGCACGGAGCTTCCCTGCCCTACAGGTTTCACCCCTTACCGGCCGAGCCGCCGAGGCCGGCGAGACCACCCTTGCCGTAGTTCCAGCCCGCGCCGCTCCAGCGCCACCGCTGCCGGCGCTAGTTCCCGCCGAGGCCGCGCGGGCGCTGCCCTACGCGGGGCGACGTTGCCGCCTCGTGCTCCCTCCCCTCCGGCCGCGCTCGCCGGCCGGGCGCGGTGGAGGGGAGCAGCCGCCCGTGGAGGGGAGGATTTCCGCCGGGGTGGGGGTTGGCCGGCGGCTGTAGCGGCGGGCAGGGTGGGGGCGGCCGGGCGGCACGGACCCGGCTCGGCGCTCGCGCTGCGCTGCGGCCGGCGGTTGGTCAATCGGGGTGCGCATGCCGGGGGATGGGGTGCGCCGCCACGGCCCGCTTGGCGTCCATGCGACGCGAACCGAAGCTCGCGAGCGAAGCGGGACTTGGCCGCGCTCAAGCGTTGCTTCTCTTCACGACGATGTCAGATCTTTCCTTAGCTACGCAGAGTATCGACATTATTCGTTTCTTATCACATTCATCGTGTTTATTTGACGGGGCTGACTACTTAGCAGCGCTTGCTTAGATCTTTCTTGAGATTCCTTGTTGACATGCGATGAGCATTCTCCATTCAAAAGCACACGTTGGCGAAGGTCGAAATTGATAAGTCCTCTAACACGCAATAATATGTCTACTGGTAAAAACTGCCTGTGATCAACGCCACATCTCGGCCGGAGTGCTATGCTCCGGTGTGAGAGAGTTAGACGTCTTTTCGCGGACTGCCCGTGGCAAGACGTGTCCTATCTCAGAACACGTCCACTTTAGCTGCGGACCGTAGCGTCTCACTCCAGAGACCTTTTCTGTGAGTGGCGCTATGCTACCCAGCCAGAAACAAACTACCATTCCTTTCGTGGCCAAAAAGGTAAAGGGAAAATGTGCAGTATGACTCAGGGTTCTGGATCTTCCAATCTCTGGACGTGTTAGAGCGACCGGCTCGAGCGTTCGTCGCGTTCAGGTGGTTGGTGACGCCGACAACTGGAGCCGGACTTGGGCTTGCGTGGACCCAACATGTGACAGTATCATTTGGAAAATGCTCTTAGTACTAAAACTCAGTTCAAGACTCGACTGTTTCGTCTCCGAATGTGTCCAAGCAGGGCGTGATTCTGGCCACGCTACACCCCCCACGGCTCGCTAGCCGCGGCTTCATATACACCCCTGGCCTCCCCTCCTCCCCGGCCGTCGTCCCACCCCAACGAGGCCGCCATCCGCTCCCCGCGAACAGCGCGCCGGGGCCTTTTGGAGCCGCTTGCCTCGGCTTGCCTCGGCCATCGGCGACCCTCGCGGACCCTGCACTCACTACCCCCGGTTCGGCAGCCGGCTCCTTGACGCAAATAAGTTGCAAAAACTCATCCCGGAAATCCAGTTAGGCCGGGCTGGGGTGCGACCGCCGGGCCGCCGCCACGCGGAGGGTTGCCGTCGTGGCCGGGAGGCCCTTCTGGACGGTGGCGGGGGTGGGGGTGGGACCGGCCGACAGGATGGAAGGATGGACGGACACGGTGGAATCGGGGGTGGGGGGGGGGGGGGGACACCGCCGACGAAGAAAACACGTTTGACGTTTTCTCGAGATCGGCATAGCTTCGCGCACGTTGTCTGGGCCGTTTCGGGACCGCCGTGCGTTGCAGGACAAGGCGAAGGCGGCTATTTAAATGCATCCTGTGTCCTCGCCGCCCCGCCGAGGCGCCGCGCCACGCCGCGCCACCATGACCAGCAGAAGGGGTAGTGTCTGTTGCTGTGGGTGGTGGCGGC